GGAGCAGACCAGCCTAAAGCATTAGCTCTTACGAATGGTACAGAAGCATTAGATATATACTGACAACTATCATAACATGACGGCGGTTTTAGTCGGGTCAGTTTCCTAGTATTTCCTTGTTTTCTCAGGGTACAGCACCTGAAGTCGACAACTAAAGGATAGATCAGGCGGCGTTATTGTAAGCACTTTTGTACATCAGGGCGAAGTAAGAGAAGTTAATGTATAAGTTCCCCAAGGTTAGGAGGAAAAGATCAGTATATAGCAACACACTTGTCAGCAGCCTGATAAGCCTATACCTCGTGAGCTCCAGGGTGAAAATTTCTTCAATCATCACCAAACTACATGTAATTATAATTATCATTGTCAGCATACCGTCAGAGCTTTTCAAGTTCACTTTTGACCTATCCAGTTTCACAACCATTTTACAAAAATGTCAACAAAAACATCACATTTTCACACATAAGGTGAGAAGAGCTTTCAACACAGCACGTGTTTTGTGGCAATTGTTTTCCGCGTCCGCTATTCATATCTAGTTATTTAAACGTTGAATGACATGTTTGATCCGGGGGTATTTAGACGTGCTTAAAAGCAGCGCTCCTTTGGTAGGTATAAATTATAACATTGGGTGATTTTATTGATAATTTGCCAACTGCACGCCCTAACAATGCGTTGCAAGTAGTGACTCTATCTCTCAAATCTATACATCATACAGTGCAAATAAAACATGCCACGACGTTACTGTTTGTTTTTTATAATTGATGGGAAAGACCTACTCTGTTACTCTTATACTCTTAGGGTGCTTTCCCAGACATTTAGATCGATCTAAAGATTAAGATTTAGATCGACCTAACTCCCTGGGAGTTCACGCTAAATTGCAGTCAGCCGAACGGGCGCCATAGTTAATTACCCCCTTACAGCTTTTAGTAGGCGGGACAGACGCTTAAGCCGGCCAAGCTGACAGTAATCTAGTAAGACTCCCCACAGGGATAGATCGATCTAAAAATCTATGGAAATGGGGTGTTATATAAATGAAATAACCCGTGGCCTATGACCCATCAAAGCTAGGATCCATGAAAGCTAGGGTCGTGACATGGTCTTCTCTACCACCTCGAGCATGTCACAGGGACTATGCCCATACCCTATCGTACTTGCAGGATCGATCTATCTCCCAGGGGTTTCTGGCTAAATTGCGATCAGTTTAAGCGTGCACGAAAGTTACCCCCCCCCCCCCCCCAGCAGCTTTAGTGGGCGTGACAGACATTTAAGCTGCTCAAACTGAATGCAATTTGGCGAGAATCCCCTCGGAGTTAGATCGATCCTGCTAGTACGATAGGTTTATGGGAACCCAATCTCATGCAAATGTCCCGTTTTCAAAACAAAGATGTTTTAACAAAATAAGAAACAAAATTTGAAATTTCCACACTCAAGGTGTGCAAAATAGTTGACACCTGCACCTGTTACATTGGAAAGCAATGGCTTTCATAGTTCCGGTGGTCACATGTCAGAAAACCAGTTATTGCTTTTTTTTTCATGCCGTATTTGAACCTGGATTCCTGCTTTTTCTCTGTGTGCGTTTTGAAAAAAAGTTCAGTAGGCTCGCCTATATAAATTAGAAAGTGCTTGTAACCCCTACGATGGTGAGACTGAAATGAGATATTTTAACCTAAGTCATTTTTGAACGAAATCTACACACAGAAGAATAGCGGCGCTATTTTCCCCCATATTCCTAACACGTGTAACCAGCATTTTACTAAAGGGAGGGGTCAAAGCAAATACTTGTCACTGTGCAGAAAATATATCGTTATCGGCTTTATTTGCTTTTCCCTTAAAACGTTATTTAAGCGAAGTGTCAAAAACACACGCACGAGCACACACATTTTGTGTAAATCCTGATCGTTTTCCAACCAGCATCTTTGCTTAATGACATTAAATGTCACTCCTGTGACAGCCCTGTGTAAAGATCTCTTTATCCAAACATCAACAGTCGTTTTAAAAAACACGTTAAGTATCTTTAATCTACCCCTATGTTAAGATAAATGCCAGTGTCACGTAGACGCTGCCGGGTTTCTAATTTAAATCCTGACTTAGTTTTTAAATCTGTTGCGGAATGCGAGGCCGATCACGACGGCGACGCCCGAGATCAGCATCTCTGCACACATGTAGCTTTATTTATATTAGAATAAATAGAAATGGAACGATCAGATGTCCGATTTAATTAACGGTTCGTGGTCGTTGTATACGTTTGTGTTTAACGGAGATGGATATAAATTGTAAGCCACACAGCTACAAATTGATGGGCAAATAACTGACGTGTGTCGGATAAAGATAAAAAAAATGCGAAAGTTGCGTCGAGGAAGCGTGTGTGCGAAGAGTCGCGTTTCAAACAGATGATGAAAACAATCTTATGAACCTTGACAATTAATATTGCCTCATTCTTCTGTATTACGTAAGAAACCATTTAATTTTTCGTAGTTTATCGCCGAATAACAAACGTCACTGGAAATCCTATATAAATCCCGTTTAAACCACGCGGGCGCCTATAGCACAGGAATTCAAATAGAACAGAATGAGGTACAGAGTTACTTATCAGTGAAAAACAAGGGGGTGATGACAATGAACGTGTGCCCTAGATATGGACAAGGCATCAGACGCCACTAGTTTGTAGAAACTAAAAGTTTTTTCAGAAGGAAAATATGCCAAGAAAGGCGGGACAATGGCTTTAAAGATTTAAAAATTATCTAAAGATAATGTCTTTGGACAAAAAAAAAAGCGTCTAACGTGAATAAAATGGACCCCACATTCTCTCAAAAGTGCACACACA